TACCATCATAGAAAGCTGAGTTAAGTCCCCAGGTGATACATCTTTTATATCACTAATTCTTGAAAACTGAAAGAAATTTTAATAAGGTGTAGTGAGTCTCAAGAAAGAAACAGTCAGACTATCTCTGACTATGCCTGATAGGAATTCTAGATCAGAGTTAATTTTAGTATCATTTACTGTACATGTCACATGGATTTTCCTAAATGTATAAACTACTTTTTGTTTATGTTATACCAATTAATATAGCATAAAATCATAGCTAATAATCCATATTTTAATAGTATATATGTTTTAAGTTCTTAATTTTATAAGGCAATATTTATAAAATTCTTGAATTTCTCCTAATGTGAGAAATGTGGCTTATTTTCTCTCTGCATCCACTCTTCTCTATTTTATTCAATAAGTACAAAAATTTAATATAAATTACTCCCTATAAAATCATCATTGCTCAGACAAACCATGATTTTTATAGCCTTCAATTTATTTGGTTACAGAGCTAACAAATAGAAAATCAGATCCCTCCTGACACTCCCACCTGTCATATCCTCTCTTTCAGGATTTATTAATAGTTTTCTCATACATCTAATTCTTTATTATGTATAACCAACAGAAAGCCAAGGTTTTCATCTGACAAATAACATATTATATTACATTGTTTTCTGAATGGAAAATGGCCAATTTCTCTGTTAGTACAAGCTTCATTCCCACAGGAAAGATAATTACTAGCTTGGATGAATTTGTAGCAGTTCTTGTCACATAGTTCGAAAGTTAGAAAAATTGCAATAGTTAGGGGAAATTGTCTACTTTTTGCATGTTATTATTCAATGTTCTTTGGGGCATTATTTAATTAAATAAAAATTATTACTACTATTTTATACTACAATTAGTATTATTGATTTTTTTTATGTGAAAGACTTATAATGTTTACTGAAAGTGTGCCAAATTTTGTGAAGATATACATACTATATTAAAAGTTAGTAATATCAAAACTATCAAGACTTTGAATGAGTACAAAGAGGTCATGTGGTCTGTCAAATCAACTGAGCCTGTGTTGAAAGAGTTAAGTAGAATAGACTAATATGCGCTTGCTCATATATATATTTTCATGATTACAAGTTATTTTTTCAGATTCTAGCCTTATACAAAAAAAAATCTGGATACATATGTGTTCAAGTATTGTTTTTACTTCATTATTAAGAATGGTATAAATATTTGTGTAAGCCCTTGCTTTTTGTTGTTATTAGAAAGTATTGTTTGATGAAATGCATTTTGAATATAGTGTTAAGCTTCATAATTACAAGTTTTAATGATTTATCAACGTTTTTAATTTTTTAAGGTCGTCTTTAGCAAGCTCTCCACACCTTCTAACACAAATGGATCATACAACACCTTTCTTGTCCATCAGTTCTCCTGGACAGCCAGGTATTAATTGTGAAATTTTATGTTTTTATGAGAATGAATAGATTTATTAATTCTTTCCAACTTGATTTCTTTGTCTTAATGACTTTATTTGGACTGGTTGTCAAAAATTAGTTTTATAGAAATGAAGTTTGCCTGCAGATGGAGAATAACTTTTATTTCTGTTTATTCAAACTGAATATTTTCTACTGGGGCTGGAATTATCTAAATATGTTCAATCATAAGGAATTACTTGCAATGAAGCTTCTAAAGAACATTAAAAACAATATGAAAAAGTATATCAACTCTCATGAGATAATTCATTCCTGGAATAATGTTCTAATAAAAATAAGATATTTTTGGTGTCCAATTTTTTTCCATGACAAAATTATTGTTACTCATGAGGCTGAAAATAACAGTTTCATATTGAATTTAGTGAATTTTTATTCTTTAAGTTATATCATGTTTAACCCTTTCACAATTTGTAGGAACCTGACTGGGTAAAGATGTGTGTGCAACAATAAATACTGTATCTCTGAGATTTCTTAATATATCTTCACAAAAACTGGTAGGATTTTGTTAAAGATTATAAGTATCTTGTACACGAAGAATGATATTATTTCAATTAAGTCTTTTTACTAAAAACATCTATTTATTGTATTTATTTGCACTCAGACTTTGAATAGTTTAGGCGCAAAGTGATTTTCATTTTAACCCTTTTGAGGCAGGTCACAGGTGAAAGGCCATGTCATCTTGTTTGTTGACTCGCATTCAACAAATGAACTACTGAACTACTATTTCATGAATTTATGTCAATAAGTTTGGTATCAAACTGTAGATTATAATTCAAATTTTA